GCAGCATCGACGATCTGCGAGCTGTCCGTCAGAGCCTGGAAGGCTTGCCCAACCGGCCCGCTGTTCTTCGGAAAGAGTTCATTTTTGACGAATATCAAATCTTGGAGGCACGTCTAGCTGGTGCCGATACCGTCCTGCTCATCGTGAAGATGCTGAGTGTTGAGCTTCTTACGAGGCTTTACAATTACTCCCGCAGTCTTGGAATGGAGCCTCTCGTCGAGGTCAACAACCCTGAAGAGATGAAAATTGCTGTCGAACTGGGCGCCGAGGTGGTGGGCGTCAACAACAGGGATTTGACAAGCTTTGAAGTCGATCTGGGCACTACGAGTCGGTTGATGGACCTGGTACCTGAAAGCACCATCGTCTGTGCTCTCAGTGGTATCTCTGGACCGAAGGATGTGGAGGCTTACAAAAAAGATGGTGTCAAAGCTATCCTTGTCGGCGAGGCGCTGATGCGGGCCCCGAACACATCTGCCTTTGTTGCAGAACTTTTAGGGGGTAACGCCGAAGATAACTCCAAGTCGGCGCCAGGCTCACGGTTGGTGAAGATCTGTGGAACTCGGTCGGAAGAGGGTGCACGTGCTGCTGTCGAGGCTGGTGCAGATCTGGTTGGCATTATCCTCGTGGAAGGTCGTAAACGATGTGTACCCGACGACGTCGCTCTGCGCATTGCTCAGGTAGTGAAGTCGACCCAGCGCCCTACTGTCCAGCCTGACTCCACATCACCCGCCAATACTTCTTCCTCCGACTTCTTTGATCATTCTACCCGCGTCTTGCGTCATCCAACGCGGGCTCTGCTTGTGGGAGTGTTCCAAAATCAGCCATTGGCTTACATCCTGGACAAGCAGCAAAAACTAGGTTTGGATGTCGTGCAGCTGCATGGGTCAGAACCCCCCGAATGGGCCAGCCTAATCCCTGTACCCGTCATTCGTAAATTTGCTCTGGATGAGTCTGGTATCGCACGCAGAGCTTACCACAGCTTGCCTTTGCTCGATTCCGGTGCAGGTGGCTCTGGTGAGCTTCTCGATCAGTCGCATGTTCAGAAAGTCCTTGGTGGCGATGATGGGCTACGAGTAATTCTGGCGGGTGGCTTGGACCCTTCCAACGTTGTTGATACCATCAAGAAGCTGGGAGACTCTGGACACAAAGTGGTTGGGGTCGATGTGAGTTCTGGTGTGGAATCTGATGGTTCACAAGATCCTGCCAAGATTCGCGCGTTTGTGCAAGCTGTGAAAACCTTTGAGGCTTAATGCAGAAAGCTCTTTGCCTTGCTCCGTGGCATAAGTTCAAGTGCCACTCTTCTATGATGAGTTGATGTCTCTTTTATGACTAGAAGGCTTACATTCTCCAAGATGTCTCACTCATATCTTATCTCGGGTTCACTTTCGGGTTACATATATCTCATTATTTCTGGGTTCAGAAACATTTCTGTCTTTTCTGGAGCTCCTCTACATACTCCTAGCAGTTTTACTGAAATGAATACATCTGGGTAATTTCATTGCCAATTCATACCTTCCTGAGGGGTAGTAACACATCGCATACATTTTATCAGCCGTGATAGTGTTACAAAACTACAATACTTCATGCTTCCTCCTTCCTCATCACTAACACATCCGCTGTGCTCTCTGCTCTTGATCTTGGCCTCTGATTCTATTGTCGACCCCACCAAAGTCAAATTATCACCTCGCCTCTAGAAACCATGGGAAAGACATTCAAAAATATCCACGCTTGTGCCATTGGCAGGCTCCCTGTCAACGGAGATAAGATTCCACAGTGGATACGAGCCCATGGAGGGACATTTTCGAAGGACGTCACCGAGGATGTTACGCACTTGATTACCACAAAAGAGACCTTCGAAAAGAACGTCGAAGCAGGTATGGCACCCATCATTCCCTTCTGCAGCCGAGATTAGGCAGTTACTAAGGTTCCCGATGGAACAGTTCAGAAAGCCAAGCTTCTGGAAACAGTCAAGATTGTGACCTATGACTGGCTCGAGGATTCGTTGCAGTCCAAAACCCGTAAGCCGAAGCCCGAGGGAGTCTATCTTTTGGCGAATCTCCCGAACAAAGAGAAAAAGAAGCAGAGACGAGCCGCAAAGGTCCAGACGAGGCAGTTGAAGGCCAAGGACAAGTCATCGGGTATGTGTGGTCATAATATCGCTGATGCTCCAAAGATGTTGACTGTAGTCAAGCACCTGGAAACGATTCGTCTAACCTGAAGACTCGAACCCGCAAGGGGAAAGCCTTAAATGCAGGTATGTTTCCTTAACTGGTGCGGTTTTGCGATCTGACAGGCTCCAAATATCAAGCGAACTATCACGTCTATGTTGACCAGGCCACTGGGGAGACGTACAGTGCTACTATTTACCGCCAATTGTCTCGGAACAATACACGTGAGAAATTCCAGATCAAGGTAGGTCCCTGCCTCCGAGGCGCCGAGTGACCTCTTCGTGCTTGCAACATACGCTGATACATCTGTAGGTCCACGAGTCAAACGACGTTCCTCACACTTACGCGACACAAGCGAAGTACAGTCGCACCGGAAAGTCCACTGACGAGATGCTCGCGCCACCCGGCAGTGACGAGAACACTGCCATAGCAGCATTCAGAGACTTCTTTGTGTCCAAGACGGGAAAGAATTGGGAGAATCGACTGGATGGGATCCCGGTGCCTCCAAAGCAGGACGGTGATGGAAAGGAACTTCCGGTCCATGAGGGCTGGTTCTACTATGAAACCGGCAGATCTCTTCTTTCGAACTTTCTTCGCCAAGGGGAAACTCGAAGTTCTGCAGCGAGCCAGTGTGCTGAGCAGATTGCTGTCGGCTCCAACAGCGATGACCATGGTCCTTTGACGCCGCCGGATAGTAAAGACGGATCTGTGGAAGATCAAACCTAAGTCTGCGCTCAGGGTGTTCTGAAAGACAGCGGTCAGTTCTTTCGAGGCCATACGTTGAGAGCCATACGATCGCCGCATTTATCTGGGCGAATAGTCTTCATCTAGCTGGAAAATTGTTGGCACTGTTGGGAATCTCGGCCTTTTTAGGGTTGCGCTACTGGTCTCACCTAGGCGATGATATTCTCTTTCTTCTTCCATTGAGCTATGGGATAGTCCTGTTCAGTCCAGCTAGCCCTGCTATCTCCTAACGAACAGCTTCACCGTCGAGGATTCATGCATTTCTTGTGTTTTTGCAGAAGGAGTTGAAGCGAATTTAACTTTCTTCTCATGGGTATAACCAATCTAATGAATAATAATGAAGTGCTACCAAACATCAAGCACTTTGATCCCTCCTAAACACCTCATGCGCCAAGTAAACTTTTTGCATCCATAAGAATATACATAGCGCCACTGCGTCCAGTCGATGTCCCAAATGCTCACAGATAGTCCTTCTTCTTGCTCGTTCTTGTGTACTGTGTGAGAGCCCATTCAACATCACCACTTGAGCCCTTCTCCAGCGAGCCGCCACGGATTTCGAAAAGCCTCATTGTCATCCGCGGGCCAACCTCAGCCAACTCGACATCCCGGTACCCAGTCTTAACGAAGACATGGTGCCGAACCTCAATATTATCCTCCTTGTTCACGAAGGTGACAACTCGATTGCCGACTTTACCAGCCTCACGAGGTGGGAACAGGTGCTTCAGAATCTGAACCACACGAAGACCAAGCTTCGTTTTAAAACCCTCAAAGATCAGGTGAGGGTAGCTCTCTGAAACAGTCCCACGGGCCGCATTGGGGATATCTGCACGGAGAACGACGTTGTGCAAAGAGAAACTGGCTGTCGGGCCATGAGGAAGATGAGAGATGGTCATCGCGGTGGGCGTTCCACGGTGTTCATGTAAGAGAACCATGTCTGTCAGCGCCGCGGCATTTGCGCTCGCCACGAGATCAGGAAGGACAAGATTACCACGATTCAGGCGGATTGAGGTGGGTAGAAGCAATCGGATTTCCTTCGCAAATGTGCCTAGGCGGACGGAGGGCGACCGGGAGGTAGTGACAATCGGACGAGGGTCAATGATACCAGAGGTGAGAGCGTATTCATCATCGAGGTCAGCATAGTCGGTATCTTTGTTCTCCTTGTTGGGCGCCTCTAATGATTCATCGTATTTGAAGTCTTCACGGAGCTTTTTGTCATTCGCTATTGAGGGGTCAAGAGTCTTTCCGGTGGCCAAAGAAGCCTTGAGTTGAGCTCTTTTTTCGGCGATGGAGGCATCGCGGAGAAGCAGAGCTCTCCGATAGAGATAGTCTCGACGCTCACGGGCTTGACGACGCTAGGTGTCTGTCAGAATGTTTCTGTGATTTTATAAAATGTAGAAAAATCCCGCCGATATGTATGCGAGAGACATATTACTTACCAGCATCTTTTTTAATGTATTCTGGAGTGGTCTGTATGATAGCTTGTCGAGATCTGGGCCGCCGAACAACTTTTTTTTCTCCAAAAAAGGTGCGCCACTGGCCTGACCCGGCTACCGGACTGTGGGCTTCTGGCGGCAAAAGGTCCGATAACTTAAACCATCCAAAAGCCGATCGCAGTCCACTGACTCGCACTCTCAAAGTCCTGACAACTACACCGTCCTGATTTTAAGGATTAGCGACTTTCGTTCGCCGGGATCATAGTGACGGAAGGCTAAGTCAAGTGGGCTAGGGTATTGGAGATCAACCGGTATGTTCTCTCTCTTGGTGCGCTGATATAAGTTGACTTACTAAGACCGGACCTTAGTTTCTCTCATTCCTGTGCCCCTCCTACTGTGGTACACTGGATCTTTTCGACAAGAAGGACTGAAAATTGTCCCTCTGTTCATTCATTTAGGACGACTGGATTGTCCTGACGCTCCTTTGGTTTCCGTATTTCCGGCATCTTCGGTTTCCGTTGCGGTTGCCACGCTACCGTCTCTCCCCTCGAAACGTTCCGCTCTGAGTGGTACTGCGTTCCTTGCCTAGAGTCAGCAACACGAGCTAGATTTCTCTGCTGTTTGATAACCCATTAATTTCGACTTCAGGCAGACTATGGCTGCTATTGGCGATGGTAGAGCTCCAGCGGATCTCGATGAGACTACTCTGAACATGACCGGCGGTCCGCGCCCAAGGAGACACGACGACGAAGATGATGGATCGGATAATTATGGTGACGACGACGTCGACAGTGTTACCAGCGCCGCTGTGACTGGCCGCAGGCAAAATGAGGGCAACCTTGAGGAGGAGAAGGAGCTACCTCCGCATGCATGCGCGTGAGTAACTACGAAACTATGTGTCTCTCTGGTCGGAATCTTTTGCTAACGTTTACCTCCCATTGTATAGTTATTGCGGTATTCATAATCCGAGCAGTGTGGTAAAATGTCTGGCTTGCAGCAAGTGGTTTTGCAGTGCTCGTGGGAACACATCCTCTTCACATATCGTCAACCATCTTGTCCGAGCTCGCCACAAGGAGGTTCAGCTTCACCCCGCCTCGTCTCTGGGCGACACTATCCTAGAGTGTTACAACTGCGGAACTAAGAATGTTTTTTTACTGGGTTTTATTCCAGCCAAATCCGACACAGTTGTGGTTTTGCTTTGTCGTCAGCCCTGCGCTGCCATGCCGTCTTCAAAGGATATGAACTGGGACACTTCGCGCTGGCAGCCACTGATTGAGGATCGCTCATTCCTGCCATGGCTTGTTGCCGCTCCATCAGATCAAGAGCAGCTCCGAGCCCGGCATCTTAGCCCGCAGTTGATCGCAAAACTGGAGGAAATGTGGAAGGAGAATTCCCAGGCGACTTTCGCGGACCTGGAGAAAGCGACGGCGGTAGATGACGAGCCCGCGCCTGTTCTCTTACGTTACGACGATGCTTTTCAGTACCAAAACATCTTCGGTCCCCTGGTCAAGATTGAAGCAGACTACGATCGTAAGCTGAAGGAATCTCAGTCACAGGATGGTCTCATCGTTCGTTGGGACCTTGGCTTGAACAACAAACATCTTGCCAGCTTCATTCTGCCCAAGCTCGAGCTTGGAGACGTGAAATTGGCCGTGGGAGATGAGATGCGCCTCAAGTACACGGGTGAGCTACGTCCCAAGTGGGAGGGTGTGGGATACGTCATAAAGATTCCCAACAATCAGTCTGATGAAGTGACGATCGAGTTGCGCGCTAAGGGCGATCACAAGTCCGTACCCACCGAATGCACCCACAACTTCACTGCGGACTATGTCTGGAAATCAACCTCATTCGATCGTATGCAGCTCGCCATGAAGACATTCGCTGTTGACGAGATGAGCGTGTCCGGCTATATTTTCCATCGCCTCCTTGGACATGAAGTTGCCGCTGCACCGATGAAGACTCAGCTACCGAAGAAATTCAGTGTTCCTGGCCTACCGGAGCTCAACGGAAGCCAGATCAATGCAGTTAAGAGTGTGCTACAGCGACCCATGAGCTTGATTCAGGGTCCCCCAGGAACCGGAAAGACTGTTACGTCTGCTACGATTATTTACCATCTCGCCAAGATTAACGGAGGTCAAGTCTTGGTCTGCGCGCCATCCAATGTTGCGGTCGATCAGCTGTGCGAGCGTATTCACAGGACCGGTCTCAAGACAGTACGTGTGACTGCAAAGTCGCGTGAGGACGTTGAGTCACCCGTGGGCTTCCTTTCCCTGCACGAGCAAGTTCGCCTGAACGACAGCAACATTGAACTCATTAAGCTCAACCAGCTCAAGGCTGAGCTGGGCGAATTATCGAGTCAAGACGAGAAGCGTTTGAAGCAACTCACTCGTTCGGCAGAGCGTGAGATTCTGAACAATGCCGACGTCATCTGCTGTACTTGTGTCGGCGCTGGCGACCCGCGGCTTGCTAAGCTCAAATTCCGCACCGTTTTGATCGACGAATCGACGCAGTCGGCTGAGCCTGAGTGTATGATTCCACTGGTCCTTGGTTGCAAGCAGGTCGTTCTCGTCGGTGATCACCAGCAGCTTGGACCAGTTATTATGAACAAGAAAGCGGCCAAAGCGGGTTTGAACCAATCCCTCTTCGAGCGACTTGTTATCCTCGGCTGCTCCCCTATTCGACTGAATGTGCAGTACCGTATGCACCCGTGTTTGTCAGAGTTTCCATCGAATATGTTCTATGAAGGATCTCTGCAAAATGGTGTCTCTGCGTTTGACCGACTTCGCCGTGACGTGGATTTTCCTTGGCCTGTCGTTGACAGTCCCATGATGTTCTGGTCGAACCTTGGCAACGAAGAGATTTCGGCGTCAGGAACTTCGTATCTCAACCGAACCGAGGCTACAAACGTGGAGAAAATCGTGACTCGCTTCTTCAAGGCCGGTGTGCAACCAGCCGACATTGGTATCATCACGCCTTACGAGGGTCAACGTAGTTACATCGTCAGCTCTATGCAGGCTAATGGCACGTTCAAGAAGGAGCACTACAAAGAAATCGAAGTCGCATCGGTTGATGCTTTCCAAGGTCGAGAGAAAGACTTCATTATCCTTTCCTGTGTGCGTTCCAACGACCACCAAGGCATTGGTTTCTTGAGTGATCCGCGTCGTCTGAACGTTGCACTCACCCGAGCGAAGTATGGTCTGGTCATTCTTGGAAATCCCAAGGTTCTGTCCAAGCATCCTCTGTGGAACTGCCTACTGCAACATTTCAAGGAACGACACTGTCTTGTGGAAGGACCCCTGTCCAACCTTCAGGAATCTCTTATTCAATTCAGTCGTCCAAAGCAGTCATATAGAGGTCCACAACGGTTCCAGATGGCTTACAACCATGCATCCAACGTCACCAGTGGAATGATGAACGGCCGGAACGGTCACCGAAATGAATTCCATGACACTGGCTCTGTGATTGGCTATATTCCCGACGATGTCTCCTCCGTACACTCTTCTGCCCTTGGAGGTGTCAGTATCCCCTCAGGATATCCACCAATGTTCCAGAACTTTGCAGACGCCTGGCCTGCTCTTCCTGGCGCCAGACGAGCTAATGGGGCCAGAGGAAAAGGAGCCCCTAGCGTTGCTGGGGAATCCGTTGCAGCTACCGAGTCCGACATTACGGGAAGTATCATCGACGGAAGGAGCGTTGATCAGGGCGGGGTTAGCCTTGCTGGCTTGAGCATCAACGACATGAGCAAGCAGCCTAGTCTCAGTCAGTCCGACAGGTTGAAGCGTTACGTGGAGTCGGGCGGACGGGAGCCGTACAGGGCTGGCGTTCCCGACAACGGTAGCATCTTTGGAGGTAGCTCCGCCAGCATTCGTGTAACTCGCGGTGTTCCTGGACATGTTCACGATGATGATGACACTCGCAGCGTCTCCACCGCTTTTGCGAGCCAAGTCGGAGGTAACTACGATTGATTTCGGCGATACTGTATACAACGCCATTTAGGGTGGCTTCAGAAGCATGCAGTACCTCCATGATGTGGACGACCGTCTATTTCCAGATCCTCCAAATACGACTCGATGGCCTGCGAGGGTTGTCAAACATTTGGTGGGACTTGACAGATCTCCCTCAGAAGCCTCGATCTGGCTGCATTGGTGGAAAGAACGTTGCGGCAGTGGCGAGGTCTCTCCTTTCAATGATCTCCCAGTCATTTTTCTACCAGCCCCCATGGGTCAGAGATGTCTGCGAGTAGTTGCCATTCTTAGTATTATTAAGAGGCGCTTGATGATCCGTGAAAGAAGCGTTTCGACTGGCAGCGTTCATCATGTCCACGCGCATCATGGCTGAGCTGGATGACTTTGGATCATCAACGTATGAAATCTTTCTTGTCCTATTCCGGCTTGCACATGCCCTCAACACTCGGCAATTTCGAGGCTGCTGACCAGTTCAATATCCTTAAAAGGGTTATTGAACAAGATTGCGCTTATGAGAAAGATGTTATCAGTGACATTCTGCCATTTCTGATTATTCCTGCTTGCCAATATTTACGTTTCCTCGTTGGCTCGGCTTCGTGGCATTGCTAGGGCGATGCAGGGAATCTGGCGGCGTCCTTCGTGGCACCAGCTGGGCAAGGTCGTCTTGATCGCGGTCAGGATTGCCTTCCTCTGGCTCGCTGGTCCACTACATGGAACTCTCTAGCGATGTGCGCAGCGCCGAGCTACGACCTCTTGCAATAAAATCCAACTATTGTCTTTCGTTAAAGCAACTACCTTTTTAGATGAAATGCTGAATGTAGAAACGAGTAGCTTGCCTCTGCAAATATAGAGATGCCTGTAACTGTCAGTCTGTGACACCCGGTTGCCCAGCGCTTGATATAAAATATAAATAGATTCAACATCCCTGTAGATAATCAGTCCTTCTCAAGACAGGCATCTACAAATCATGCGTGCTTGGCATTCTGCAAAATCTGACATTTTGGTTCGTCGATCATACATCGAAGGATTTGGTAGGATGTCTTAACTCGGGTTTAGTGATCTCTCTGTATACATCGCTGCAGACTCAGCCACAACCATAATGTAGTTTACTGGATCAGGCCACAACAGTAGTAGGCCTCTCTGGTCGAAATCCAGAACCCACTCCAATCTCCGTGAATCATACCCTTGTGATCTGGATAAAAGTTTGTGCAGAATTCTGAACTCCCGGCGTTGCCAGCCGAAATGCTGGACCGTTGTGCTGCGCCACTGCAAGAAGAACAGCTTGCTATTTTCGCTCATCAAGTCGAGTTACCATTCTACATGTCGGCGTACTCGGTAAACATATCCTACAATCTCTATAAGAAGAACTGAGGTGCCTATTCGATGGCTATGTCAACCGGGATCTTGTACTGTCTGTGTGGGGGATCGTAAGGCGACCTCCGGAGCCGAATGATGCTCTATCCAGGGAACAGGGCTGCTTTGCTACGTATAGTGCAACCTGTTCTCGGCGGAATTATCAACTTTACTGGGTGTAAATTTGAGTTTCGTATGCCTCATGTCGTGTATAGCTGTGCTTGACTCGATGTCTTCCGACGCAAATCAATCCTGAGAATGAAGGTGATCGCATTACTAAGGCAGTATAAATATACTGCTAGCAAAGTGACAGTGGGATGACGGCGAGAATCCCTTTAGCGAATGGGAAAGCTCCGTATATCTGCAGGGCAACTGCGACAGCTCCTGTCTCGAATGCCTGGTTTCCTAGGCTGCCGACTTCTTGGACCAGCCATGTCACAGTCCGCATTGGGCTACAACCGCCGGTTTCATACTTGTGCCCTGGCGGTCAGAGGATTGGGTACCTCAGGTACACGCTGCCTTTTGACGTGGTCTGGCAGAGATGGATCTGAGTCGGGCTACCAGTAAGGCTGCAGAAGCACGGATAAAGATCAACTGGACTAGGATAATGACGAGCTGAAAATGATCCTGAATCTGACGAATTCGTAGACTGCCAAGGAGAAACCCTTGAGCTGGTGAGAAAGAGGTCCAGGGCGGTGAAGAGCGATCGACGGTGGCTGAGGGTACGAATCCTCAGGCCTGCTGCGCCACTATGATTGGCTGGCAGTCTGTGGCGGCTGCTCTCGACCTGGCAGCACAAGCATCACTTTCGAGTTACTCTCCATGTTGAACTAGGTAGGATTCATGCGGATACTCCGTCAGTACTTACCAATAATAACCTAACATATCAAAGTATGACTTATCCGGCTGCCTGATTCCTATGCGGATGACTCACTGAATATAATTACGACCCAAGGTCTCATCCTCGGTGCCACTAGATCTCGACTTTCCGCTTCGGGCTATAACGATCACAACGCGACAGACATCACACCACGTGTGCAGCTGTGTCCGCATAAATATTCAAATCCTTTGGGTGTAGTTCACAGTACTCTGGAGTATATCATCGCATCTGCTTCATCAAGTCTTGCATTCCTTGTTTCTCAACAATAACCGGTACCATACGGTCACATGATTTCGATGTGGCGGCTCGCCAAATCCGATTAGTCATTCGCTAGTGGATGCCTTGCTACCTGAACGCCTGAAAAAATCGGCACCCCCGTCTTCCTCGTAAGGAACCAACATCTACTGAGCGCCACCCACGAGATCAAGTCACTGACGGATTTATATCAGCATTATTACCGCTCAAATTGATTTAGACCCTTTCCTCTTATCCTTAGATCGTATTATTGTTCGACTGTCGAGTCTTGTGTCGCTTCATACTCGAATTTCCTCCAAACTAGGCCCCCAATCTCGACTGAGCGGCGGGGCTGTACTTGCGATATGGGTGACGGCTCTGACTATCCAAGCCCACGAAGTGAAGGTCCCGGAGTACCTACAGCTGTCCTTGTCCCTGCTCCGGACTCTTTGTCGCCTGTCCCAAAGATGAATGAGCAAATGCCCCCTGGTTTCATGGAAGGCGCTCGTCCTCGACTGTCGGTCAGAAGAGCGCGGGATCCGCCCAAGAACGCAGCCGGCCAGATCTATTGTGACCATCCCGAATGCCAGCAGTCGCCTCCGACATTTCGGCGTCCTTGTGAATGGAAGTAAGTTTATGCTAAAATCAAATCCTCACGCGTGTGTCAAGAGCTAACGCGTCTTCACCTGTAGCAAACACATGGATAAACATGACCGTCCCTACAAGTGTCTGGAACCAGGCTGTGACAAGATTCAAGGGTTCACATACTCTGGTGGGCTTCTGAGACACCAACGCGAAGTCCACAAAAAGAACATCAATGCCAAAAAGCCACTGATGTGTCCATACACCGACTGCAACCGCAGTACAGGCAATGGCTTCACGCGTCAAGAGAACTTGAAGGAACATCTTCGCCGCCGACACATGCACACCGAAAATGGTCCTTCTGCAGAACTGCCCATGGTTTCAACACCAGACCTTGATGGCAACCATGCTCTTTCAGTTCCTCCATCCGTTAAGCGGAAGCGCGACTCCCTTGATGATGATATCTCGGTCGCTCTCCCAGGCGATGAAGAAAACGAGGTCGATTTGCGCAATGAACTGAAGAGACTGCGTCGCGAGGTTCAAGAGAAGGATCGCCGACTCGAAGAACTAGAGAGAATTGTCGCTGGATTGCAGCAGGCCATTCCTCAGCCAACCATCCCGCAAACTGCCGTGTCGCAGGGGTGATGCGCAGATCTTGGTACTAGACTCAGCTTTGCGAGATACGCCTTTTTGCTTTCATGACTCTACATTTCTTTCAGTTGTTGCATTTTGCGGGCGTTTTCGTTTTTATGTACGGGGTCTCTGGTCTGCGCTTACTTGAAATCAATGGGAGGTTAATGTCGGTCAGTCCATCTCAGAACGCATCATCACAACACACATCTGGCGTTTTGCTCGAGGTCGATCATACAACTAAGGCGGTGTTCTAATGGCTGTTACCTTTGTTTGCTGAGTTCCTGAATTATACCCAGGTGTTATCTTAAATGTCTCTCTTTCCACTCTCGTTCACAATTCCGAGCTCTCTCACCACCTTACTTCTATTACAATGTACTATCCATCTGAGTGCCATCGCGTATCCTCGTTTCATAGCTCTGGAATCTAATGGAAAGGAAAATTGCTGCTACGATTGACCAAATTGCCTGACTATGTTCGTCCGACTTGTTAGCCTGACTTCATTTTGCCATCCCATTCTCTCTGCCCTGGAACTATCAACTGCCATGCCACCTCAGCATATGGAAGCCTAGACTATCTCCCATCCTAGTCATAAGTCAAATAAGATTGTAGTACCGATTTGTCAGCTTATTCCTAACTTTCCTAGCTCATCCTTAGGGCCGTGTAACATATCAGGAGGCACACGTACTATACGAAGTATGACTCTTGTAGTATATGGTCTGACTCAATCCGGTATCTTTCGGATACCGGCCCCCCATTTCGAGTATGACTCGACTTGACTCGCTAGGACTCTGTTCTCTTTGCCCAATCTAGTACGGTTATGGTGATGGTATGGTATGTCAGGTGAGTTTGAGACAGGGGTCGCCTTAGGCTTCCATCCCTCGTTGAGACTGCCAAGGTGTCTCCTTTCGGATTTGGTGGTAAACTGGGAGAACCATAAGCTCCCGTCTCCTTAGCGATGAATTTACGCGTGGTCAAGTGAGGGTGGTTCCTGGATCTGGTAAGTCCATCATATTCGGTCTTAGCATGGCTCAAACAGCGTTCGGGCCTCTGCGTTGTACGGAAGCCATGAACGTTGGATACTAATCATACGGTGCAGAGCCTAAGGTAGCCGCAAGATGTCCTGAGCATCGTTGAGTTCCCGGTCTTATTAGCCAGTTCCATGGCACAAGTGGCTTCATACACCGAGCAAGCGAGAAAGCGTATAGTTGACCTGATGTCCCGGTCGTCCGGTGCATGAGGCTCATGGAGGAAACTTCTCTCCGTTTATTGCCATGCTTGCTGTGATCACATGTAACTGAACGAGGTTGGGATTATGTGGTTGTCCATGGAATTGACATGATAGGCTTCGCAAGCGGTGCCTAAACAAGGCTTCTGCGATGGAGCACAGGCCCCAAGTCTCCCTCTAACGGTCAAATTGTCCCTGAAGACCAGGTATCTATGGAATGAAGGGCCCAGACAACTACTGAGAATCACATCACTGTTGTCTGACTGTCTTGTTCAACTTTCAAGGTGCATCTCAGAAGAAGTTGTCCACTTATGAACATACATGACTAATCGTGTTGATAAACTAGGTTAAGCTTGCTATGCCACTGATGAGTCATCAGGCACTCGACCCAGGCAACGACTGCTTTTTGGGTGCCTTCGATGCTAACCCTGGGAGACTGTGCTGTGGTGCCTGGAAACTCAGGTATGACTTACGGTAAGTCTAGGTAATGGTAAGAGGAAAATGTTGGGAAAGATCAAGTCAAGTAGTGACATTGCTGCTCGCTCCTCGTATCTTCACACATTCACTCACTAGGTGTTGGATCAATGTTTACTCCCCCTGAATGACTTTCACATTATCTATTCTCACTGATGAAATCTGTCATTGCGTCCTAATAACATACAAGGAGAAGAAGCTATCACAATACTCCCTTTGGCAGCAGATGCTAGTTATTTGCAACCCCATTGTCAAATCTTCTCAATCAAGCTCGAAAAGACTTCCGCAATAATGACTCCGGCTCGTTGCAATGAGGCTTCGATGTCGGAGCAGGAGGGTTCGCATTATGTCCGAACTCATGAATACATCTCTGGAAGTGCAAAGACTCGTCTGACTATGTCTGCACCTTCATTCTATGATGAGGACAACTCTCTTCAGGAAGTCATCAGCCCCACTTCTCATGATTTCCAGGAAGGGGAGTTCGTTTGTCCGGGATTCTTCCAGATGGTCAACCCGGAGAATTTCGTGCATCGAGTCGTGGCCCCAGACTGGGACTACATGATGCGGAGACAGGCGCAAGCAATCCTGCCATTTCTCTACTTGGGCCCTGTCTCCTGTTTGAAAGACAAAGCCTGGCTCGCCCGAGAGGGTTTCACGTTGCTACTGGCGATACGCAACAAACGCTCAGCACAGGCGCGCCTGGTTTCTGGTGAAAAGGTTGGTGCGGAGCTGGGAATTGAAGCAGACGCGGTTGATGTCATGGACAACCAGGAACTCATCTCGGCATTTCCTTATGCTATACGTCGCATCAACGATCATCTCGTGGCGTCCAAGCCTGCTGTTGACTCCAGCGCACCAGCAAAGAAGATCTTTGTCTTCTGTGAGTCCGGCAACGAGCGCTCGGCCACGGTCGTCATAGCATATCTGATGGTCATGCTCAACCTGAACATGGCAGTCGCGTCACATCTCGTCCAGCTTCGAAGATTCTGTATCTGCATTGAAGAGCCACTGAGGGAGCTCCTCGCGTCCTTCCAGTCTATCCTTGATGCGAAACGGGATGTGCAGAAGGCCATACAGGCGTCTACGTCGAACTCGACTCTAGCAATACCTCAAGCGACCGTGTCTAGAAAACGAAGCATTGCTGATCGACTTGATGAGCCTACAACTACGGGTGGTGATACGGTGGGAATGGACATGGACATGAATATGAATATTATGGATGAGGGTTCAATTGATAGTAGAAAGCCTCTTGCGCCATTCCAAGATCGTTCGGATTGATTAGCGTGAATGGTCTACCTTGCAACATGGGAACTGCACTTCTCAGAAGTGAATGTTTAGTTGACGTCTCAGCATGACTTGTTTTTCCTTTTCTGGTGACTTTTTTCTGTGTTTCCCAATTCGGAGATACCCAAACATCACTCACTATGAGATGCACTGCGTTAACATTCTACTACTATCCTGAAAGATCCTATTGCTTAAGTAGATACAAATCAACCTTTCACAAAAGGATCATTGTTGTCATTCTATTCAAGAAATACATATCCTTTTCTGTTATCTTTCCTTTCGGTTTCTTCCTCATATCCGCTGGACAACACGTCCTCTGACGGCTTCGAACCTGGAAAGGCAGCCTTCTTCAGCTCCTGCACAGAGACAGGGGCGCTCCTCCGTCTAGGAAGCATACTGGTTTGTTTTTCTTGCTTAAGACCGCAGTTCATAGCCTTGCTAAGTTGTCAGTGCTCGTCCAGTGATCTATCTGTGTCTCTAGAACTGAGCTCACCATGAGACTCCGCGAGAGTATCCGGCCACCTGAGCGCTTCAATTCCGAGCTGATCATTACACCATCACGAAAGAAGACTTTGCGCGAATCTAGAAATCCGAGAACCCCTCGTTTTATCGATTACAATCCAAACCTACCTCCTGCTGCATTCCCCACGCTTGACCCGGCCAACCTCTCCCAATCCAGGACTGGTGAACAAGACCGGGCGGAAGTCGAGCAGAATGGCGTAGCTAAAGCGCTGCAACGCGACGCCAGCTCAATTGACTTTCACGAGGGCGATACGGAAGATAAAGAGACATGGGAGAAACTTGACGATATCTCAATCGATGAGCTTGAGGATCTCATTGCGAGCAATGTGGAACTCAATCCTATCTATGTCAAAAACATGGAAATCATGGCGACTGCAGAAACATCGTCTTCTTCTGATATGGACATGGAAGATAGCGATCCTGACGAGCCGATGACAGACGTGGATGGCCGTCACGCAGAGGTATGCTTCTTGGCATAGTATACGCCCTATTCCCGTGCTGACTCTTCCCAAGTCCATCAGGTTCATTCATGACCCAGAATGGTCTGACCTTTCTCCGAGATTGCAAGCAGAGATCGCCATCAACCTCAGCCAACACTACAGATGGGCAACAGTCTATAGCAAGCTTGGCTTGGGAGAAAAAGAACGCGAGGAGCTACAGCAACTCATCAGACGCCGTGACCATCAAGTTGCGATGGAAGACTCGGCGCTGCATGCGATGAGGGCAAAACAACTGAGAGCGCTCCTCAGAATCGATAATAGTTCGGCCAGCCGCAACAAGACGCCTCACAAGCTGGTCTTTCGCAAAATTTCCCGCAAGACCAATCAAAGGCTCAGAGGCAACATAGGAACGGACTATCTCCTGTGTGAATTCGGGGAACTCCTGAACGCCAGGCGATTCTTGCAAAGACGTGGGATCGAAAGACATTATGCCGGGAAGTGGAGTGGCAGTCTCGTGACATGGCCGAGGGCTCAAGATGCATCTGACGCCGAGAGAAGAGAAAGCCAAGGAGATTCGATGGTCACTGGGCCAGTGACTCCGTTCGGGGTTGGTTCGATCACCGTAAACGACCATAGACACGATTTCGCTGATTCTAGTAGGCCTCCTCCGGCTACTCCTCCGCATCGCATTATTCACACAACTGAAGGTATTGAAGGAGCTCTCGTACAGTACCAGGAAAGAGATCTGCCTCCTCGCAAACTCTATCATCGTGGAGAACGTACCCGACGACTGATCGTCCGCTTAAAACTCGGCCAACCAAGGGCTAAGTTTTTCCAAGCATGGAAGAAGTCTGCTCATCCGCGAAGACTGGTACGATCCTTACCACCTCTCGATGTCTTTTATCAAGCATCATCGAGACTTGAAGACTTTGACGGAGGAGCTGGCACGATATCAACCTCGGCTGCAGATTCAGGCCATTCCGCTCTAGATGATTTCACGCAGTCGCTACGCAATGCCATCAACGAGGATTGGCAGCGAGGCTTACTCGAGCTCGAGGATACATCTTTGAGTTCCTGTTGGAAGAAATTCCAGCGAGAGTTACAACAGGCTACATTTGAGCCAGACACAAGCGAGGTCGTGGAAATCTTGGACTCGTATGTACACACTGACCGGCATTCGGAGCTTTCTGAGGTCATACCATGTATCAACCTCACAGATGTCGGCCTTCCTTCACGGCCAACAACACCTGGTAGAGTTATGTCACCCAGGAGTGTCGATTATGTCCAGAGTGGAGAAGATGACTTCGCACCATTCAGCGAAGCAAAAACTCCACGAACAAGCCCTATCATCGACAGCCCAGGCAGCAGCTGCTGGGAAGCTTGTTCGGATCGTGCAGCATACTCACCGACGACACCACTGACCACCGTCACCAACACTTTCGATTTCCTTGAAGACAATCACAGCGAGAAGAGTGACACTGACTGGGAGGACGCAGAAGACGAGGAAGAAGAGGACGAGATGATCTTGGTACCAGCCATGGGACCAGTAAGAGGGGCAGCTGCTCAGGGATAGATCTGGGGAGCTATGTACTATTTCCCATCTGTGATAGACCATACTACTTCAGCTAAATCTAATCAAATTTCTATCCAACCATCGCCATATTTGGTTGCTGATATTCTGACATAGGAGACCATAGCTATAGTATAGGAATGCCTGCCTGTATAACAAGTGTGTCCTTGCTAGGGGAACATACGTCACGTGCTGATACTGGCTCATAGAGTATCATGTGCCTTAGTAGTTACGTAGCGTACCTTTCCCCTGACGGAATGAAGTTGTTCCGGGTGCCCCATCGGAGCCACTGCGGGACGCCCGAAATGGGTAACGGGGTCATCATCATCACACCTCCAATACTCCGTAAAGGATTCCTAATATCCGGATTCCGGAGATATTCAATTGTAATATTTACAGTCCAGGCGACTTCGTACTTCCACCATGTCAAACAAGAAGATCGAGCAGTGGGAAATTGAGCGGTACTGGGAGATCTTCTCCTCATTGGCAAATGGCCATCCGCGTCTAAATAGCTCCCAAGCGGCCTCGGTGCTCAGGAACAGTCGGCTTAGCGATGATCAGCTTGAGAAAGTATGGGATTTGGCGGATGTTGACGGCGACGGAGAGCTGGACTTTGAGGAGTTTTGCGTTGCTATGCGATTAGTCTTCGACCTTGTCAATGGGGTATGTCACCGATACCGAGCTCCGTTGCGCTTTGTTATGGACTGTCTTGCACGGTGCGAACTACGATCACCACTGACTGGGCTCACTGGACAGGAACTACAAGCAGTCCCTCGAGTATTGCCCGACTGGCTCGTCCCCGAGACCAAAGCCCACCTCGTCCAAGCTGGCCGTGCGCTGAGCGATCGTCCAGAGCAATTTGAGCGCATAGAAGATGAAGACGACACACCAGGCTTGAAGGACGGCTTCGACTGGTACATGAAACCCTCCGACAAATCGAAATACGAAGAGATCTATTCTGCCAACCGTAACCGGCGTGGCGAGATCACATGTACGTACAGCTCATCATCCCGCTGGCCTAGTCGCATTCACCCCCCGTAACGCCCATTCAAGGCTAATGCTGGCTACAGTTGAATCACTACAAGGATTGTACGATTCCCTTGATGTCCCGGACACCGACATCCGCTCCGCATGGAACCTAGTTAACCCCTCTGCCTCCCCCGCAATCAACAAAGACGCCACCCTTGCCTTCCTGCACATCCTCAACTACCGGCACGAGGGCTTCCGCATCCCGCGCACCATCCCCGCCTCTCTCCGCGCCTCCTTTGAGAACAACAAGATCGACTACCAAGTCGACAACGCCCGCCCCGCACAAAGGTGGGGTGCAGACGGAGACACAGAGACCCCAACAGGGCGCAAAGCCAAGTTCGGCGACACGTATCTGAGCCGCCTGGGCGTGGGCGGCAAGGGCTCCTACACACCCAAGGGCACGGACTTCAGCGACACTATCCAGGATGAAGAATGGGAGAAGGTGCGTCTGCGGCGCGAGCTCTCGGAGCTGCAGGCTAAACTCGATGCCGCCAATAAGGCCTCCGAAGGGCGCAGGGATCGGCCGCGGAACGACGGCCGGCCTAACTGGACCCTCATTAAGAAGGAGGCGCTTCAGCTTTTGGAATACAAAGAGCGTGAGCTCCGGGAGCTGCGAGAAGGCACGGGGAGAGCGAAGGCGGGGCAGGATCTGGAGCGGTTACGGGAGGATATCAGGACCGTCGGGGAGCAAGTTGAGGGGTTGAAGAGCCATCTCGCGCAGCGGAAAGAAGTTCTTGCAGATTTAAGAAGTCAGATTGAGGAGGAAAGGGCACGGCGGTAATATCTTTTGGCCAATTTTTCCCCTACTGCTAGATAGTACTTGACTTCCTCTCTTTGCATGCTTGCCGGCGGGTTATTTTGTATTTGTGGCCAATGCATCATGTACAGCCATTGTCTTGGCGAGGAGCATAGGCGCTAAATGGATGATTCTCCTGTATTCTCGTCGTGATGTAGGGGTGGACCAAGTCCCATTCAGCAAGTATTAGGACCTGATTTCTAACTGTTGTACATCAAATGATATCCTTTTCACCAACGCCAACGCCTGTCTACACCAAACAGATCCATTCCACACCCCAAGCAATCATCCAGAATAATCTATGTCCCAGTAATTTGAGCCATGAGGGAGTTCCCCTCTTTCTTCGTCTCGACAGCCTTGAACGCACGCCCAGTCTGATCCAGGCCCTTCTCGGCACGCGCATACGCCTCCTCGCTGCGATCGGTCAAAATATCCAGATCCTTTTGCGACAGCAGCGCGGATGGGTCAGCACCCGTCTCGAAGCGCTCGAATTCGTCTTCACCGAGAGCCTTCTTGAGCTCTTCCACATCGCTGTGACTCACCGAGCTCGAATCGAGGAGGCTTCTGAACTTGCCCTTTTGGATGACGAGGCGTTCGAGACGGCGCTTCGAGTCCGCTTTCTCGAGGAGAGTCTGTTCGACGGTTCCTTTGGTTGCGAGTCTGTAGACGATAACGGGCTTTGTTTGGCCAATTCTGTGCGCGCGGTCTTGTGCTTGGAGATCTTGCTGGGGGTTCCAGTCTGAGTCGTAGAGGATTACCGTGTCGGCGGCGACAAGGTTAATGCCCTGGCCTCCTGCTCGGGTGCTCAGCAGGAAGATCTTGTAGCCGGGGTCAGAGTTGAAGGCTTTGATTTGGGCTTGACGATCTGTCTGGCTGATGGCGCCGTCAATACGGCAGCAGTTCCAGCCGCGAAGCTGCGTGGCCCAGTCCTGAAGAATGTCGAGCTGTGTCTTGAACTGGGAGAATATGAGGATCTTGTGCCCCTTCTTCAAGAGACAAGGCACGAGGCGGTCGAGAAGGAGCATCTTGCCCGATGCGGTGACAAGAGTCTCGTCGATGGCGGACGGGTCGTCGCTCCAGGGCCAGTAGAAATTATGCGGAGAGTTACAGGCAAGACGGGCTTGCATGACCGGATTCTGCAATTTCTTCTGAGCAATTTCTTTCTCTGCGTAGGTTCGTTAGCAGCGGTCAGTGGCAACTTAAGTTCGGACAGCCATATACGTACTAGCAAGCTTGATAGTATTTGCTCTTTCGATTTCCTCTTGCTCAGTATCGATAGGGCTCTGTTGTATATCCAAATCGACTTCCAAGCCTTGCTCAAGGCGGCGTAACTGCGCGTTGAATTCGCGGTCACTCAACTCTTTGTAAGTTTGAGGGGCCCTACGCCTGCGGGTTGAACTAGCCACACTGGCTGGAGTCGAATCTCTGCTGGATTTCAGGCTTTTGTTGGGCGTCGAAGAGTTACTACTGTCGGCACTGCGCTTTAGGCTCGCTGAACGGGACAGCCTCTCATTCTTGGCCATGAGACGTTCCGCGGCTTTATCCTCGAGATATTGACGTCCAGTACCATTAAGAATCTCACGGTACAAATCCTTTTGCTCCGCTGTGAGAGGGGCATAGAGAATGTATTCGCGTTTCTTGGGTAAGGAGGTCTCCACGTCGGTCTTAACCCGCCGCAGAAGGAATGGCTTCAGGATTGAGTGCATGGTGGAGACAAGTGTGCGTTTCCGACGTTCTATGACATCCGTCTGCCCATTGTTATCGAGCATTGAGGAGAAGTCAAACCAGCTCTGGAAACTGTTGAGGTCGTTGAAAATCTCCGGCAGCAGAAAGTGCAACAGTGACCACAGCTCGGTAATGTTGTTCTGTAGTGGTGTACCAGTGATCAGAAGTCGGTTTGCGGAGTTGTATGAGAGAAGCTCCTTAATGAGCTTGCAGTTCATATTCTTCAAGCGATGACCCTCGTCCTGGTCTCAGGTTAGAGATGCGCTCCCCTTTCCCGTGGATAGTAGCGCAGAACTTACAACAATGATATATCGCCATTGATATTGCGCAAGGAACTTTCGGTCGTTCATACAGATCTCATAGGACGTGCAAACTACCGGAAAATCTGCGCTCTTCTGGTCCTTTAGCTTCATCAAGTTCCTGCGGATCGTGGCACGTTCGTCTTTGGAGCCATGGTACAAAACCGTCTTTATGCTCGGAGTCCATCTCGCGAACTCATCCACCCAGTTGCTGACTGTGCTCAACGGAGCCGCAATCATAAAAGGTCCGGAGACGTTCTTCTCCTTGAAGAAAGCAATCAACGAGATTGCCTGGACTGTTTTCCCAAGGCCCATCTCATCGGCCAGAATTCCACACAAGCCATTCATCCAAAGTGACTTGAGCCACTCTAGCCCTTCCAACTGGTACTTGCGCATTCTTCCTCCAGTAACAAGCTCCGGTTGCTGAGTGGCGACAAGGCCCTGCCCGCCTAGAGCACTGGGATTGGCCTCATACTCGTCCGCAGCATGTTCCAGAGCTTCCTGCACCGTCGGTTTGTCTTCAGGGTCCTCCATATCCGCTTTCTTGAAATAGCTTGCAATGCTGTTACCGTTCGAGGCTGAAGCACCCTTCTTGCCTCTGCCTCTTCTCGACCTTGTGGCTGTCCTTTCATCTGGTTGCTCGCTCACAGTAGGTGTTGTCTCATCTGCGGAAGGCTGCTTCGCTCTTGCGCGCGTTTCTCGTCTCCCAACTGAGCTTGCGGTAGTTGGCTTCTTTTGATCTTCTGTCGGCTTTTGCTGTTGTTGCTGCTGCTGTCTTGCCGTTTCAAGCCGGGCCTCCTCCTGCTGCTTCTTCATTTTATCTGCCATAATCGCTACGAAGACCTACGATAGTGGCGCAGCAGTCAGTGCTTCATCCGATAGTCGAGCTAGCATAAGATAGGGCAAGACAAAGATGATATCCACAGCATAAAATAAAGGAAAACATACCTCACTTGTATTCAAAAGGTGCATCAGAGCCTTCGATTTGGCATCCATCTCCTCAATATCCTCCACCTGCTCCCGCTTTCCATTTTCAACACCGGACATAGGACTACCCTGCTCCAGCTCATCCATGGCAGGATTCAACTCTTGATCGACCATATTCATTAGTCGTTACGGAGAAAGAACGCTGTGGTAGAGTTTTGCCGCTCAGGGGTATCTTTGTAGGTATCTGTGGGTGTTGACTGGAGTAGCTGCACCAGACATGTCCTTCCTCTCTGTTTGAACTCAATGTGTTGCTCCTTCAATTATTGTTTGCTTTGTAGAGCTCAAACGGGATCAAAGTGGCGTTATAGCACCGGTCTTGCGATACCAATCTCGTCTAGTTTCGCTCTATCAGGGGTATCGTTTGCCTCAATATTAAACAATCCAAGATGTGAGAGACAAAGAGCACAAAGAAAAGGCCGGTTCTTGCGCAGGAATGCCTGACGCAATACTTGTACCCTTTTGACGCGAGTGTTCCCGCTGTCTAGGCTGCAGGACGCGGATTTTCGCGTTGGCGCACAGACCAGTTTCTGATTGATTGACGCACCGCCCATAATTTGTGCAGAGATGATCCCCGATCCGCCTATTACCATGCATCGATCAAGCAGGCTCCATCTGTAAGGTCTGGATCAGATTCTCTAGATCCGACCTTCAACAATTTCATCTGGTTGATATGTCCCTTTCACGCATGATGGTAAAAATGGACAAATAGTCACCATGATACACGTTAACGCCCCAGTTGCACTAGTGTCTTGAAGCAGCGACTGTGAATAACTTGTGTCTCAGTGCCATGCTGGTTACATCGACTTGAATACACTCTAGTCTTTTCTATACCTCATGCGCTTGAATATGCGAGTTGAAACTCCGAATCTATTCCTCTATCTATTAATAGTACTCAGACAATCTATAACTTCTCAGAATTAACCCTTCCTTTTGTGTTCCGAGAGGCGTTCACCACAAGTGCCACTTGCGTGCTAAGAGCTATCAGCTCGCCTTGTGGATCGAGAATGACTACTTCCAAGTCCGCCCGACTACCACGAAGCATTCTGGTAACCACGCGCGAGTGTAGCCATTCCACGCCTTCGGGGGGGATCCTGGTTTTCAGATCAATGTTCAATGTCACAGTGGGGTACCAAAACGCCCCTTTGTCAGGAGCGTTTCCTTGGAGCTCGCCTTCCTGGACCCCCTCCATGGCAAGTAGCCGGCTTGTTTCCATTGCGCCCATCCTGTCAAGCGCCGCAGGAAACATATCAGCCAAGAACATAACCGCTTCGTTCGACCAGCGCGCTACTGTTTTCCCACCAGGAATAAACCTTGCCCATTGGTCGACAACTTGCTTCTGCCGACTCTCGAGCGTCATCGGTACTTGGGGGCGTGGTGCGTAGATCTCTAGATGTTGTGGTGCGGTCACGATAGGAGGTGGACGAGGCAACCGCATCCACGCACCATCCGTTCCGTTCGCTGCCAATGCTTCTAGGTTGACCGAGCCATTTGCTAGGGAGCCGGGTACCGGAGGTGGGCAGAGCCCCCAGGTGCCTTTGCAGATCGGGCCCTCCTCCGTGTCTGGGGGGCTGACGGTGATATATCCGACGACTTTCACTTCGAGGTCATCCTTGTCACCCGCGACGCCAGGCCTGTCCGGTCGCTGAGACAGTGTGACATGGATCGTACTTATCCGTGCTCCTATCTTGATATCCTGTACTCTCAAGATCGCGGGCCCAACGACTGTTCGTCGGAGGAACGACAACTGCATTCCGATGGGTTCTGGTGTGCTTCGGTACTGATTACTCTTGGTTTCTCTAAAGTACACCGTGGCTAGTCGGTAGAGGACACTTGTAGTATAACCCCCATGGGGCACTATCAGGCATGTTAACAGATACCATCCATACGCCTCGGGAGGTTGAAACCTGCCGCTCAAGATGCACCACTTGGGGTCCAGATAAGCCGAGTATGTGTGTGAGTCAATCGGCGTGACATTGATTGCCGTTTCGAACTCCGCTGAATGGCAAGGCCCTGCCATGTTTCTGTTTACAGGCTGTGACAAGGAAACGTTAATCGTCTTCCCAGCCTGAGCTCCGTGAAGCTTACCATGTAGAAATTAAAGCAATGCCAGATCTGATTACGATCTGCAGTGTTTCATAGCTTGAAAGATCATGGAAAGTAGCCACTAATTTATTCTCTCACTGTCCCCGTGATAAGGAGCTACTGGTTCTGATTTTGGAACCAATTCGGGCCTCGGCCGGAGAACAGTTAAGCGCAACTTGGCCGTTGATCATGTATGCCATGCGCTCTATATTCGAAGTCAGCTTGCCCCAAATCTAGAGGCCCTGCCTTCCATTGTTGCAACATGGAATATCAATACCGCTCCTTATTTCAGCGCAAAGTTTCATTCATTTTGAGGTGTTTGGAGAAAAAATGATCACTAATCATGACTCGCCATCTTATCAATCTTATCTAGCCTCGGATCTCAGCCATGTGCTTTGTCCCTGTTCGAAACTGGTAGCAGGAGAACGTCTTTATCATTTCAAAGTAGAATAGAAGGAATATATCTGAGGGAGTCTACTGCCTTTGCTGTGGGTGATTTCGGTGGATTCCTGTTCAATGCTACTGATCTTGCTCTCATCCAGAGATCCACCTGGAGCATATATTCTGCCTCCTAGTCTCCAAATAGAGAAGCAGATGTGAATAACCCTCTAGGAAGCATGGGGCCTCTTACTTTGTAGCCATAAAGCATCAGATTTAAATTACTGTGAATACTGCATTCGTAGTACTTGCTCTATTCACCCTATACCAACCTCCCTCCAAGGCGAGCTCGTTCATTCTGTACTCTTAATTCATCCACTTGACTTATTTCGTAACATCCACCGGCTTATTTGGCAGAACTCTTCTACATGGATTCCTCCGTTTCTGCTTCAAGAAACTTGAACACAGACTGGAGGAATCAGCACGAGACGAGTCATGGAGATGTTAGTACAGTGTCTATACTGTTCCAAGACCGGGACAGCGAGGTTACAATTTCTCAGAAGGTTAGCATCCGAACAATACCTGTGACTATCACTGGCGAGATACTTACCTCAGCGGATGCAGAGACCAGACACTGTGAGAATGGGCTCGGACTCTCAAGGAGCCAGTTTACATCCAAAGACTATACGAAGCGGTGGAGCAAACTCATGACCGTGCAAATCAGGGACACCAGAATCGTCCTTCTCGTCTCAATAAAAGCGGTCACAAAGAAAGTCAGGGCTCGAGAAATGGCAGCTTGTCCCTCCGAAGTCTCAAAACCTCTCACAAGGCAAGCAATCGATCAGCTACGTCAGCAATCTAAAAGATGTTGACTGGAAAGCAAGGTCATTGAGGCTGACATAAACTTGTTTGGATTACTTCAATTAACGTAATGATTCTGTCCACGGGACAGAGGACAAAGTCCAAGGGGCTTTGGCGATATGAACAGCTACCAATGGGCAGGCAGCTAGTGACGCCGGTCCTTCCCTTTGCTGCCATGCGGAGAAATTGTGCAGTCTTAAAGGAGATGGCACTCACAAACCTGCCACCTGAGTGATTGACAACACCTAGCAGGCATAAAGTTAACCTAGAGACTATTAGTCCGCTCGCCGACGTCATCCTCACGAGGCGACCACAGTCGGGCCCAAAAGGTTCAGACCGAGATTCAAGCATACTCGGTGAAGACAGATAAGCCGCCTGGACAGATACACAACATATTTACCCGTTCCACTCTGCGCAGAAGGACAGCCTCCATATCACACAGACCAAGAGCAGAGGTTTGAAGCACCCAGCGAGGGCGCAGTGACTGGGTAGATGACTCGGACATCTTTAACTGCCCGGTGGTCATTAATACGCCAGTATCTGCTGGCTCAACTGCATCTGGTATCCGGAAGTGTTCAGTAGCTGCAAGATGATTCCCCCGACAAGTCCTGGGGAGTCCCCAAAGCCCCCACACCCACGCAGTCTCAGAAGCGCATCTGTTGACGCCTCGCGCCCCTCTGCGCAACAGTTATTTGAAGAAAGTATTCACCGAATTTCCGACATTAGAGAAGTTATAGAAATTATCTACAGGGAGATCAATTCTGATGATGGTTCATTCATCTGTCAGTCACTAGTGGATGATGAACGCGTTGAAAGAAGGGTGCGAGGTATGACATACATGTCTTCCACCGATGCACCGAGAGTTTCCTTTGACCTTCAATACAATATTTTAAGGGTCAACTTCAATGCGCACACTGGTATACTCCGCATCAAAGTCCTGCCGACGACCAACGGTGGGCTATAAGTGCTATTGGGGAATGGATTTTTGACGGCCTCTTAAACCGCAATGAAAACCGTCTCCTTTGTGCTGGTGTCGGGACAAGTATGTACTGTCCACTCACGCTAGATTATTATGCTATTAACATCTCAGCCTTTACTGGATTTACTGGCATCTATCAGGGCTCTTTTAAACAACCAGACTTTTTCTTTAGGGCTAATAGCAATGACTTTCCCTCCATTGTTATCGAGTCAGGCTGGGTGGAGTCATTTCCGCATCTACGGGCGGACAAGGATCTCTGGATGCAAGGAAACATCTCTGTGGAGGTAATGATTCTCCTGGGGTGGAAGATCTCTGAAGGCCGTGTCAAGGTCAGTATGGAAATCTGGAGACGTGATGGGGCCGGAGGCCTTGCCGTTAGTGAAATGGTTAGTATCCTTCATCTATCTCAGGTCTATGACGGAAGGCTAATATTAAACAGAGTCTAGGCTATACTTCCTTCGGCAGATTTTGTGCCCTCCAATGGACGTATTGAGTTTACTAAAGGCCAGCTCTTTGGGTCAGTGATGATAGCTGGCCAGAACCCTGGCACTATACCTTACCTTGAAATGTCAAGGTTAAGGGAGATGGCCGAGGAGGTGCTTGTGAAGAATATTGGAATGGTACCCGCATAAGTGACAATTACATTGGTAATTGCAAAAGCCCTCAAATTTACAGAGAGGCCATGAGTATCCTTTTCTGTGCCCAGGTCGAGAGATGCAAAGCCATGAAACCAGGCAGGACGTTCAACACGGACCCTGGAAGCACCGATCTACAGACGGCAATTAACCTCGCCAATCTCTCCTCGCCCTGGACCAATCAGCGAGGAAGAGCTGAATGATACGGAGTGGATATTCTATTCATGAGCTCCAACGATTTCAAACTCCATTATACAGACAAGCTATAGAAACAGTAAGTACATAGTATCAGACTGTAATGCGATGTGGTCATATTATGTCAGATCCTATGGCTATGTAGATACTCTGATAATGATGTTGAGGTGGGAGTTAATGAATGGTATGGATCAAGGAGTTTCATGACATGTCTTTCAACATTGTTTTGCTAGACCACTGCTCATAACCACATAACCTTGCATGTCTGTGGTAATATGTACGCGCAGAGATCAGCGCAGACCAGACAAGGCCAACCACGAGCAGATAACAGAAAGATTATTGGGAAATCATCAGAAGGCGCAGACCTCAATCCGAAGAATCCGTCAACCCCTAGGGCCACTCCAGTCAGAGAGTTGCCTCGTCCAAACGCTCAAACCGGAATACATTTGTGTACACATCATCTCCAGTTGTGGGCGATTTCCATCCCAGGCACTTCCAGTGGTCCGCCAACTTCCAGCCCACCGGCACACCATAAGCAGCAACTTCAGCCACGTGGTTGACGCCATGCATATATTCGCGACCCCGGGAGCGCTGCGCCGCGATGTAGGATTCGGGAATCTCATCAATGGTGAAAGTCACAGATACCCTGGCCAGGTGAAATGCGCGAGAAAGGACCAACGACAGTTCATTCTTATCGAGGTAATGAAGGGCTCCGATGCACACAATGTGATCAACGGGGTCCATCCACTCTGTCAATATACGTTGTATGGGGCCGACAAGGACGCGCTCATACCAGCCGTGATAAAGGCATTCCGTTCTCATCTGTGGGGATAGATCAACTCCCATAAATTTGGTGGTGGAATTGCGATGATCTCCAGATGTCACTGCCAGGGCTTCTCCTCTCAATCTTGCGAAGAGTCCCGTTCCGCAGGCGAGATCCAATACAACTCCGTCGTAATTGTACTTTGTTGCAATCTTCTTGACATTGTCATGGTAGATCCCGTGTGTCACGGCGTCATATTTTGGAGCCACATCATCGTACTCCTCGCCCACCTTCCTCAAGAGCTCCGCACTGTGAGAGTGTACGATGAGGGACGAAGCGATCACTGAATTGATCAATGATCGATGGCCACCTGGGAAGGATTCACGGATTGTGCAGTCTTCAACCGAAAGTTGAGGTAAGAATATCGGTGACATTGGATTTATCCCGATCAACATTGGTCTTGTGATTTTTGTCACACGGAAAAGTACTGTGCACCAAAAGCAGCCATGCATGTCGTTGGCATCGAAGGCCCCTTCTGCAAGGCTGCAAATCTCGTCATATAGATGTGGATTTAAGGTTCGTTTCAGACATTGTTTCTGGTGACAGATGCCAGGGGAGAGGGCCACCGGTGTATTGCCCAGCTGCACGACGACACAGGCGTACTCATCCCCAGCGGCAATAATATCTCTGTTCTCGCCGCTAGATGGGTTTCCACTATTATGTCCAGTAAGATGCAGCTGCAAGCGGCCATCGAGATCTGGTTTGCATCTTTCGAGAACCCGACTCGGTAGCCCGATGAAGGGAAGCTTTACTTCCTCGAGGTATTTCGTGATCTGAATTCCGGTGCTCTGAATCTGACCACCGTGCCAGTCCCATGAGAAAAGCATGTAGAGGCCGAAACCTTCGGCGGCGGCAAGGTCAATATCCTGCTTGACGCTGTCTTTTCTGATGACTCGGTGCTCGAATGTGTGTTGATCCGTGTATAGCCCAGGATCGGGGTAACCATCAGCCTGGGAGGGGATATCGGAAGTTTGAAAAACACAAATCCGCATTTTCTTTCTTTTCTTTGTTTTAGAAGGGTTATATTTTAGGAGTAAGTAAGTGTCAACCAGAATATGCCTATCATTTTCTACTATGCAATGGTCGTCTACGGAGTACCTAGTACCTACCTTTTGGCGTAGTGGTTCTTTCCTCTGCACCACAAGATAAGTGGAGAAAGCGCACGATTCTCATACCTAATTCTGATACACCAGTCATCATCTCTAGAAAAATATGCGTATATTCCCAATACAAGGCTGGTTTCTCAAGGCTCGATGATCTATCTCATCGGCCTGTGACTGGGTAGAAGAGAGCTGGAAGCACCCAACGCTACTGGATGAGGAGAATAAGTCCTGCAATGTACCTTTCCTGATGACTGGCATCTAATGCGATTGCGCAGGATTCCAGCCAAACAATGAATATCTGGCATCGCTTAATCATTCTGCCAGGATGAACCGAGGCATAATTTCATAAATCCGACCGTCCGGGTCCACAAGTCGTAGGTTTCGCCCTGCCATGAACATTGACTTGGAAATACAGAGGCAATCATAGTCTAGCCAGCTGAACTGGTGCCCAAAGAACTCGAAAAGACATTGGAATAGTGGAGCAAGCTGGCTTGCAAGGTATGAGGAGTTCTTCCTTCCTCAGTAGATTTGCGAACAAGTGGGGGGACTTCAGCTGTGAATCGGGATGAAGGCTGCAGGCCAAAGCATGTTCTTCAGCCAGGATCTAGTCTAGACTAGATATCATTATTGCGCCCCGTGCGTTCAAAGGAAATCAATCCCCCACAGTGGCCCTATCTGATGTTACTTCACAGGCTTACAGTTACAGCTCCTGGTTCCCGTGAAAAGTGACACCCCTCCCGCTGAGTTCTGTGTCGAATGGTCTACGCTAATCCCCTGAGGGAGTCCAGACACAGCAGAATAACTAGGATACAACATGAAGATCTGTTGTCTTCACTCAGCCGACGAAGGGATGGAGGCAGGCGCCGAGGATCCCGAGGACGTCGGGCGAAACCCCGGCCTCTTCACCAATCAACACACGTTTGAAAACAAATACATCTACAAGGCCACGGCCAAGGCGCAAATTGATGAGGCCGTCGCAGAAGGATACGACTTCGACCTGCCAGCCAAATAACCGGTATTGGTAGCTGGGGGAAATTGCTGCAACTCTGTGAACAAGGCGGATGGTACAACCAGCGCATCTGTGAAAGGATTGTGCAATTTCTCGCTCGCTATTACCAAAAGGTAGACCACATCCTCTCCCTCTCCGGATTCGAGAGCTTGTCCGTGGAAGAGCTAGATTTTGTCCTCTCCAGATGCTTCCAGCTAGCCAAGAGTTCGATCAAGCTGGGGACCCGTCAGGCAAAGCAGGCCGACAGTGTCAAGTCGTTTGGGGAGCCTCGCAGTTGGCGTCTCGTCTCTCAGAAGTCCACAGCCTCTAGCAATGGGACAAGCATGGTGACTTTCCAGTTTGCACGACAGGCACACAACGAGTAGGCCCGAATATAAGATAGATAGAGAATGTGGTACATTACCATATTCCTTCTACCTCCCTATCTCCCATGTATGTGGCCTGTAACTAATCGAAGGAGAAGACTATTGTCGGCAAGGTTTTACAAGAATCCAGATCACACATCGTGATCGACATCGTGATCGACACTGAGATCGGCATTGAGAATCAGCCATAGTGGGCCATTCAGCTAAGCCATGTTCCATAGTTCCATAGTTCTCCACTACCTACCTTCTTTAAACGCCGATTATTTCACCAAAATCGGAAGGTCGGGGATGTCTCGCTCTGTGTCTGTGAGATACATCGTTCGTAGGTACATAAAGTTTGAATCGGCGTGAAAAACAGCGCTCGAAATCATTCTCAGCTGGATCCACGTACGTATGCGCAAGAGCAAACCCCCACATAGTATATATAAGTTCATAACACTAAGGTACGTAAGGAATATAAGTTCATAACACTAAGGTAGGTAAGGTACTATCAACCAATCAACCACTCAGCTAAAAAGGTGTCAAGACGACCATTTCTAGCATAGTAGGAATGATAGTGCATATTCTGGTTAACAGGTACGTAGCCGGGAAGCCCCCGATCTCGATTGGTGGCCCCGGGTAACAGGAACAGGGAGAGGAACAAGGATTGGCTTCAGCTGTGATAGATGATAGTTGGATGGCTTCGCGTGATTATGCCGACTAACAAGATCCTGTCTACCTTAGCTTCAGCCGTGTTAATATTGATGATGCAATGCCGTGCCATCCATGGGTTGAGTCGATGAATAGTACCTAGGTATCAATATCGACTCTTTTTCACCCCCTCATTCTCGTCAATCCGTAAGTGTGTAACCGTCCATCTTAGTTTGAGGAACATTCAAGATGAGGATCTGCATTCTGCAAACCGCCTTCACCAACCCCCATGCAACGGAGGAGTATAGTCCTGTCCATGATCCAGGCAACTTCACTGATCAGCACACGTTCGATCACGTATGGATTCACAAACACGCAGCGAAGGAGCAGATAGACGAGGCGGTCTCCAAGGGCTATGATTTCTACTTCAACTTCATGTGGGGGCAGCATGAGGACGACCTGGCAGGCATTGACGCGTGCAAATACTTCGAGAGCTTAGGCCTGCCCTCGTTGGCCAGCGCAGCGAGGTTCTTGAGCGGTCCAAGAACGACTTGTACAAGGATGCCCGCGCCCTTGGCTATCCCCGCGTCCCTGGGACCTCCAATTATCCGCTCTTCGTCAAAGCCGCGAGCAGCTGTGCCAGTCAGTTCATTACTGAAAAGTCTCTGTGTCGCAATCGCGAGGAACTTGTCCAGAGCCTTGCCATCCTCCAAGAAGCTTTGGCCGCTGGTAGGGCGCTAGCGGGTCGACCCAGCGAAGCGATTCGGACAACCACCGTCGTCGACGGTATTCCGATCCCTGAAGATGTAGTAGTCCAAGAGTACGTCTCCGGCTGGGATCACTCCGTGGTGGTTATCGAGGTAGGTGACTGCCCTGTCGCTCTGGCGCCCGAACGATATGTCTACCCCACGGGCTTCACCCCATACGCCGACTATCTGACCTTCGAGGTCAAATTCCACCCCGAGACGCACGTGGAGCTCTTGCGTTATCAGGACGACCCTACCCTCTATACCAAGCTGCAGGAGCTCGCAGTCCAGGCCTTCCACGCCAACAAGATGGCCGGGCGGACGTGGTGCAATGTTGACATCCGTGTGCCGCCGCCGGGCCAGGGCGAACCCGTCGTCCTCGAAGTCAACCCAATGCCTGCCGTCTTTCTCCCTCGGGACCACGAGTGGGAGGATGTTGCCATCCGTGAAAGCTTCCCCGGGGGACATCGCGCGTTAATCAACACGATGATCGCGAGCCACCTCTTACGCCGCCGGGCACATGAGGAGAAGCTCCACCGCATCGCAGAAGTGTACGATAATGTCAGCTCAAAATACGACGAGAATATTGCCAAGGTGACGCGGCTGCCCGCGATCTACCGCAAGATCGTAGCCCGGGTAGATCTTTCCCAGGGCACGATTCTCGAGCTGGGTGCGGGCACCGGTCTATTTGGCCGCGCCCTGGCTCAGGAGATGCAGCAAGGGACAACGCCTCCGGACTCGGATTCGGACTCTGCATCCAGCAATAATCGGACACCCTCCTCCTCTTCCTCATCATCATCGTCACCTCGACCCTACTCCATAACTGGTATCGAGCTGTCCCAGGGAATGGCCCAAAAATGCCGACAGACCGGCGTCTATGAGGAGGTCCACCACGGAGCCGTACAGGCCATTCTCCCGACGATGGGCCCGTTCGACCACATTCTCAGTTTGTCGGTGTTGTACTTTCTGCCTCCGGTTGAATTCTCCCTCGCTATGGTCCGGTCGTTCCAGCTCGCGCGGAAGAGTCTGGTCGTGTGGATCGACGAAATTCCCGAGACTTATACGGCGAAGCTCCTGGAGATGGGACCGCCCCATTCGCATATGATCGGGTATAACCACTTGGAAGACATGGAGAAGACGTTCTGCAATCCGCCGCCGCCGGGATGGAAGCTGGCCGAGAAGTTCCGGCAGTCTGGGTGGCAGTCGCCGGTCACTGGTGTCGAGGTATATGTGACGGTGTATCATTTCCAGAGGGAGATGTCCTGGATCGGTTAGGTATTCGGTGAGATACCAGACAAAATCGGTGCCAGTTGGAGAAAGTTACTGCCCTCGGTGACGAGGAGAAAAATGAAGAGAGTAAGGACATGTTTTTGAGAGGGCTTATATTTGGCGTTGCGGGGTTGATGACTCGGCAAAAGAGCGGAGTGCTCGTCTGGTATAATATGTGAATCCCACATGCTCTGGAATGTGTCTGGAATGCGTCGAGGGAGATTGATTGAGATTGGAGAGACAAGAAAGAGTGGGGGAGTCGCTGTGTGCTCACCCTATTTGGAATCTAGAGGAACCTGAGATAGTAAAAGGCCAGGAGAGAACAGGCGGCAGAATAATATAGAATGGAAGTAGTAACAAGAACCACCATCATCAGTCATAGGCACTGCCAGCAGGACAATGCAGTGCCAGATATATCTATCCAATTAAGGATTACGCAATGTAGCCTATCTTGAAACTTGTTCCATGTAAGGGTTGCTGGTAATTGGCCATGTGATGTTAACCGTTAGATGCCACACAAAGTACGCATGGGGTGGGTTGGATATGGAATCTTTCACCAACTAAGGTAGGCCAGCCAGTAGACTGGGACTCTGGGCAACGGGCGGACGGCCCGCTTCCGTGACCATATCTGCTGCCATGTGGAACATCCTTTAGGATCCAGTGACACGGTCAGACACCCCCTTGCCCAATTATGTAGGGGATAATTATACTCCGTACTATATTTTACCTTAGGCTCAACACCAGGACTCTTTGTCTCTTAGTACTCTTCGGTACAGTATTAGGGGCAATATAAGCAGGCTGGAGGAGATCTGCGTAGAGGGTTCCTAGCGAGCGGAAGGTCGTCGTCTAAGCTGCGAGGTCCTAGTATGACTTTTCTGTTTCGTAATGATAGATCTGTGCGATGATCAGAACGAACTGCTTGAAGCCTTTCGCGTTCTCCTAGATTTATACTGAGTGTATTTGGAATCGGGAGAAACTATCATCCAAGTGAGGCAGCGGCTCGTGACAGAGGGTCGCTGGCGGTTCGCCATGTAACACCTATATCATATATAATTTCGTAGTTATTACCTACTATCTTGCAGAACCTCTTCCTTGATAGGAACCCTTTAAATATGGAGTAGATCACTGTGGTGATCGCCTATGGGATTACCTGCGAGGCATGATTAGTTAGCCATGCATGATTATGTCACTTCGTAAGTGTATTGTAGAACCATTGAAGATAAGAAATATGCAGGCAGCAAGCAGGCTTCAGATCCACCATCAAGGTCCATACACTCTACCTACCGACAATCACCTCCAGCCTGCTTATAGCTAACCCTAATCCAACCTATATAAATATAGATAATCTATTAAGTATATACAACTAGCAGAATTCAGTAGATATATAGACTTAGTAGTTTATTCAATCTATTCAAAATCTATACTGTTATTGTCAGGCCTCAGGTTGTATATCTAGTCATGTCTGTTGCCAACCCAGTTTCTGATTTCTGATTAAGGCATAAAAAGCAGAAATCATAAAAATGTACTTGTTGTCTCACAAACAATCACTCAATTCAATGGTACATTATAACTAGCAGAAGAGGAGATCGTATAAGTCCGTAGTCTATACAGTTGTGTCATAAGTTCCTGCGGTTGCTTCGTTTCCATTCATATGCGCTCACGTCTTCTTCTCTTTCGAAGTGGCAGATTCTTGATCACTTTTGGCAGCTTGATGTTGTGCCTTGAGACTTTCGCCGACTTGGAAGATAGCTCGCTCTGCTTCAAGTGCCAGTTCAGGCGCATCAAGGATGGAAGCCAGTTTCTTAGCGTCGGCCATATTGAGTAATAACCTGTCCTCGCTCCGCTCCACTTCTTCTACCATGCTTGAAGCGGACTTTTCGGAGTCACCGAGCACGCGGGCTACGCGTTTTGCGTATAGTTGCTCCAGCCCTGGAAACGAGACTGGGTTGAGCAAATCTTTCTCAACTAGGTATTCTAGATGTTTGGAACCATTCAAGGCTTCGACGTGTCAGCGAAGAAATGACTTTGCTGAAGGATGGGATGGGCCGACCTCGCCAATGCGACCAGCCTCGGTACGCAAGATAGAAGAAAGGGATATTAGGAACGCTATGAAAACAGTCAGCGCCAATGTCAATTAGTACTCTGCCAGGCACAAAGCATACACTGGAATCAACGCAACTGGAGCTGTGAACGGAGCTGCAACCAAACTCCACCACATTTTCTTGCGATGTAAGTCCTGTCTCTCTGTCGCTATTTTCCGGAGAATCGAGCGAAGTTTCTCTGCCTTGATCGCATTTCCGGGGAACAGAACGTCGACTTTCTTCGTCTCCGACGACTTATCGAGTCTCCTCTGGGCCTTGAGAGAAGGAATGCTTTTCAGGCCCCATTCTTCAAAAGGGATGCGCTGCTGGACCTTATTGCCCCAAGTCACAAGGTGTTTTTTCCACCCTTTATCAGCTTCCTCCCATTTAGCCCAAGTTTCCGCGGCCTTGTTCGTGACGCGATCGAGTACCGAGAGCTCCTTGGCGATATCCCTGCTGAGGGGCCGAGAGTAGATCAACGCTCGTTGCGTCGAGATTGGCACCACGAAGAGTCGCATAGCGAAATTGCCAGGTGAATTATGGTAGATTATTTGTGCAACAGTGTTCAATCACTGTTGCTCGGGAGGAATTGTTCGAAGTCAGGGGGGTTCGGGACGATTATCGATTGGCTTGACAGGACAACCGATCAAAGAGAGTCTGTAAAAGTAGCATGCCTTTGGCCTCTCTGTAATTGCCCAAAGATATATTTTCTGTTGTCTGTGGCAAAAGAAGATTGTTGAAGAGAGGACTTGTCCTTGTTGAGCTTGATGGTAGATACCTCGTGGTCCGTATTCTTGCTGCTACAAGCTAACCTAGCAGGATTATTATGAGGAGACGTCATGGTTCTCATAACCTGAGATCTGATCCTCGGAACATCAAACGCCTGTCGGGCTGTGTCCCCAACCTCTTCACTATTGTTGTAATGGGCTCCAGCCCTGCAGTATCTGATTTTTCCCCTACCTTCATTTTCTCTTCAATACACTCGTTTCAGAAATAAAAATTTCCGGTAGCTCGGTCTTGGTACTGCGCCTCCTTTTTTACCACAGGGAATTTGAGGCGATGCAGACTGGATCCATCGTCTTCCGAACTCCGAGAGTCCGACGCATCCTCGCTGGAAATAATTGTTACTTTGGAGGGCAATGGCACAGGATGTGCGCGATCCCCAACAGCAGCCTCTGAGACTTGAGCATGCCTTGGACGTCGGTATCACAGAGAAATCCCCACAGTCAATAGAACCGCCAACCCGTCTTACAAACGGACTTAAGAGAGACAAGCGCTCCGAAGACCCTCCGCGCAATGGCACATCAGTTGCGTCGGCTGGTGCCTCGCAAGCTATAGAAAAAGCCATCGCTGATATTGGTGGCAATAGTTTAGAACTGGGGAACAAATTGCGCACATTACCTGGTAAATAGGCATCGGCGTTTCCAATGGGGAGAGAGACTGACTGACTTGGCTCACGTCCAGCATGGATTCGATCTTATGAAACTGCAAATGATGAAGCCGAGGCGTCGGCTACAGCAAGACTCCTACCTCCACAACCCGATGATGCCCTCGTTGCTCAACATAACCACTCCCCTTATGCGACCACGAGACCAGACTATACCGGAGAGCAAGGCCTTGACGAAGAGCCTGGCTTAGGTCCACGTCGCGAATCCCGGTGGAAGTCTTTCTCGAAGGCAGTTGCCTATCCCCTAGAGTCTGGCGTTGAAGAGAAGCTGGTAACACCTGAATGGCTGAATCAGAACCATACGGACTTCTCGCAGCCATGGCGGGGGCAACTGGAGCCGAGTGAAGATACCGAGGATCCGCTAAAAATGAAGCGACGCAGACAGATCTGGTTCAAGCGCTTCCACAGCACTTTGTTGAAGAGCCCTATAGTACCTGTGATCTTTCGGCTCACCGTCTGGTGCTTCTCTCTTACTGCCCTTGCCCTTGGAGGGTCTATACAGCATCTCTCGGACAAGTACCAACACCCCCAAGGCCCGTCCGCCTTGATGGCTATTATCGTGGATGCGGTCGCGCTCGTCTATCTGGTCTACATCACATGGGACGAATACACGGCCAAACCACTGGGGCTACGCTCTCCGGCTGCAAAGGCCCGACTGATTCTCCTGGATATATTTTTTATAGTGTTCGACTCAGCGAACCTAAGTATAGCATTTGAATCATTATCCACGGTCAGTGGCGCGTGTAAGCTGGCAGAGATCAATCAGCAGATTTCCGAGAAGAATGATGCGATATGCGACAGGCAAATAGCACTTGCCTGTGTTCTGCTGGTTGCTCTGTTGGCTTGGCTCATGACATTTTCAATAAGTGTTCTTAGGTAGGACACCACCATTGATCTCATAAATGTGCACTGCTGACAGCCTTCATCACCAGACTCGTTGAGCGGGTTGCCCAGTGAAACTCTTGCTTCAAATTGCTTTTGTGATTGAGTGTTTTTGTCCACGAACTTTGCTACGCCCAGCAATCCTTCTGCTCCCTGGATTCAACTTTTCTGTCTCACTTTTGCTTGATATGTCTCTTTTCTTTGTGGTATCTTAAGGTATTTTTTCTTATTTCGTTCTATCAGGTTGGAATGTTAATTTCCTTGTTGGTACACTGCAGCCGACATGATTTATGGGACGTGGCGCTATATGGTGGAAGAATCAACGATCTAACGCAACCGACGATCTGACCAGCTTTCCTTGACCCGCAATGCAATCAGCGCTAGACATGCAACACAGGGCCATCGTCTCCAAATAGAGGATCTTTATGGAACCAGCCCAAGTCTTTGATGCCCTTGACCTTGTCTTCCTCTCCTGACTGTCCATAACACATATCCCATTGCTTCTGCTTCGGATATGCACCCACCATCTTGAACTGCTCCTCTTCAGTGTCGAGCTCATCCAACAAGCGGTGGCCAACACCTGCCGGGACGATGATCAGATCGCCCTTTTCGACGTCCGTGTCGAACCGATTCGGATTGTCTTCGCCGCCGAAGCAGAGACGTGCACGTCCCGAGACAACCCCCAGAACTTCATGGGTCGTGCTGTGGAAGTGTGTTTGGCTATACATGCTATAAACCCACTGGGGACTGACCTCCCCGACTTCCTCTAAGTGCGCGGTGAGCTGCTTGGGAGATGCGCTGAAGGCCTTGTGATAGATCATGAGAGGCTTTGATTGGATTGAGGTGTTTGGGATCCTTTCCCACTTGGGAATTTGGCGCGAGGTGACCTGGATTTCTGATGGATTTTTGAAGGACATTGTACTATATTTTGAGATTCTCTGGTTAGACCAGTTTATAGATGACAGTTATGTTGAACGAATCCCTTTTGCAGACCACACTCAAAGCAAAAGTAAATGATTTATGGTATTACAAGCAAAGCAGAAGACATAAGCTCTCCCTCTCCATCGCAGGTATTTTAGTTGTTGATAGAGGCCACACATGACGTCATCCCGGCTTACAAGTCCGTGATGCTATCAACTGTCTATCAGAAGACAATCCACGGTTCGAGTATTCTGGATGGCGCTGCTGCTCATAAAATATCTGACTTTTACATGTATGTCTATAGTATAGGTATAGGCAGCTACAGAAGAGTCCAGCTATCCAGTAAGCATGAGCCAGAAGCTGTACTGTAACACTAGGTTTTAATAGTTCACAAAAGCCTCATCCGTGCCGCTAACACAGTTCGCAAAGATCCCTCGGTGGTTTAATTTTTCATAATCGCTTCTCGATTCTAGAGATTCCTTTGTGCTTGATGCCTAAAAGTCTCTTTCGTCAGGTCAAATCTAGGTCTTCGAGCTGAAATTGAGATCAATGCCTAGCAGGCACCTAGCGTCCTAGCCTCGTACGCGCCTCAGCTCACTCACCGCCTGCCGCTAATGTAGCATCCATCATCCCCACGCCTGCGACACTCCACCATCACCCAACGCCACGCCTGGTCTCTTTCTTCGTCTCTTCCTAAAAACGCGTGTTACCTGATTTTCTGTCCCGGTGTCTTGCTCTTGGTCGTGTTATCAAGTGCTCGCCAGTCGGTCCGTTCGGCCTGTCCCCCCAGCTGTCTTTTACTACCCTCCTTCTTTTGCCTCGTGCGCCGCCTTTCCTGAACGGTCTCGCAAGGCATTACCGCCGGCGCTCTCACCGTCTGCCGCTGCACGTTTCTTCAACGTCTCGAGGCTCAAAAAGTGTCGTTTGGCGATCAAAGTGGGCATTCCAGTTCTGCCGTTTTGGGTTTTCCTATTCTACTTCAGTTTTGCCCTTCCGGTAGTCGCCAACTGAATGCTTTGGACCGGTGACCGTTGTCTCATCTGCTGACATTCACTGCTTCGTCATATCAAGATCGCTCCTCCCATCTTTAAGCTCAAGGCAGCATTATGCCTCCTCTAATGCCCCAGACTCCTCACAAGGATGACCTTGACGAAACGTGAGTTCGCCTACACCGACACCTCGCGCTCCACCGCCTTTCGGATACACTTCATATGGCTATTGACTCGGAATCTGGGCTGATTCGAATAGATGGACATTCCTAGAGAAGGGTATTGACAGCGTTATGCTGAAGCTGGAGGAGGGTGTGGATATGAAAACTGTATGTCTCTGTCCTCATTTCCCACCAGTTTCTCGTTCTCCGCCGAGAGCGTGTTTTCTATGTGATACGATGCTGACAGTCGCGCCGTTCTGGTGTAGTACATGGCCCTGTACACGTATGTTCGAACTGAGACTCCCGTCTTTTCTTGGAACTGAGTTGACTAACCCCTGTGATTAAGCGCCGTACACAACTTTTGCACATCACAGAAGGCAGTCAGCAACGGGCAAGGATTACAGGCGCATCGTGGTGGTTTGTCTTTCCGTCCCCTATGCTGAACGGTATGTCGGCTTGTGATGGCATTATTCTGACGATTTTTCTACTGTAGCACACTTGTTGGGCGAGGAATTATACAAGCTACTAGGGGAGTACTTGTCACGCCACCTTGAGGCCGTGTACAGGGAGTCCCAGAGCCATACCGAAGAAGCCTTGTTAGGGTTTTACATTCGTGAATGGATTCGTTACACAACCGCCGCCAAATATGTCAACCACCTCTTCCGGTACCTGAACCGCCACTGGGTGAAGAGGGAGATCGACGAGGGCAAGAAGAATGTCTACGATGTGTACACTTTGCACCTCGTCAAATGGAAAGATGATTTTTTCATGAAGGTCCATGAGAAGGTCATGGAGGCTGTGTTGAATCTGATCGAAAAGCAACGGAACGGCGAGACGATCGAGCAGTCGCAAATCAAGAACATCGTAGATTCTTTTGTGTCTCTCGGTCTGGACGAGAATGATAGCACCAAGTCTACGCTGGAGGTTTACAGAGTGTACTTTGAGAAACCCTTCATTGCTGCGACCAGAGTCTACTACGAAAATGAATCCCGCCAGTTCGTGGCCGAGAACAGCGTGGTAGAGTACATGAAGAAGGCGGAGGCTCGCCTTGACGAGGAGAAGGCCCGCGTGGGCCTGTATCTACATCCAGATATCATGAAGCGTCTCACGGACACTTGCCTTGATGTCTTAGTCACAGCACATTCCGAATTATTGCGGGATGAATTCCAAGTTCTGCTAGACAATGAGCGCCAAGATGACCTAGCGCGCATGTATCGACTTTTGTCGCGAATCAAGGATGGATTGGACCCTCTGCGGGCGAAGTTCGAGACTCATGTCAGAAAGGCGGGCTTGGCTGCAGTCGAGAAAGTTGCAGCGGAAGGCGAAGCGTTCGAACCAAAGATGTATGTGGATGCGCTCTTACAAGTGCACACCAGGTATCAAAACCTTGTCAATGAGGCTTTCAACGGTGAATCCGAGTTTGTGAGATCCTTGGATAACGCCTGCCGCGAGTTTGTCAACCGCAACAAGGTTTGCAAATCCAGTTCGACGAAATCACCGGAGCTGCTGGCCCGATACACCGATTCTCTCTTGAAGAAGGGCTCAAAGGCTGCGGAGGAGTCTGAGTTGGAGGAGATGCTCGTACAGATCATGACCGTGTTCAAATACATCGAAGACAAGGACGTCTTCCAGAAATTCTACTCCAAGATGCTGGCTAAGCGGCTGGTACACGTCAGCTCGGTATCCGACGATGCGGAGACTAGCATGATCAGCAAACTGAAGGAAGCCTGCGGTTTCGAATACACCAACAAGTTGCAGCGGATGTTCCAGGACATTCAGATTTCGAAAGATCTCAATTCCAACTACAAGGATTGGCAGGAGAAGGTCCTCGACGAAGACGATCGGAAGAAGCAGGTCGACGCACACTTTCAGATTCTTGGAACTGGGTTCTGGCCCCTCAATCCACCTACAACCGGCTTTTCTGCACCACCCGAAATCGTCAAGACTTACGAGCGATTCCAGAGTTTCTACTATGACAAACACAATGGTCGAAAGCTGACCTGGCTCTGGCAGCTGTGTAAGGGCGAAGTCAAAGCAAATTACATTAAGAACACGAAAGTTCCGTACACTTTCCAAGTGTCGACATTCCAAATGGGTATCCTCCTCTTGTTCAATGAGAATGACACCTTAAGCTACTCCGACATCCAGAAGGCTACCAGCCTCGCTCCCGAAATTCTCGACCCCAATCTGGGTATCCTGCTGAAAGCAAAGGTGCTCCTTCCAAGCCCTGAAGGGGCCAAACCCGAACCCGGAACTTCATTCTCCCTGAATTACAACTTCAAGAACAAGAAGATCAAGGTCAATCTGAATATTCAGATCAAATCAGAGCAGAAGGTAGAGTCAGACGACACCCACAAGACAATAGAGGAGGACCGAAAATTACTCCTCCAGGTATGTTTTTTCCCATATCTCCCGCCGCCTCGTCCGCCACTAATCGAGTCGTCCAGTCCGCCATCGTTCGCATCATGAAGTCCCGCAAGAAGATGAAGCACGTACAGCTCGTACAAGAGGTCATTCAGCAGGTCAAGTCCCGCTTTCCTCCCAAAGTGCAGGATATCAAAAAGAATATCGAAGCTCTCATGGAAAAGGACTATATAGAGCGGTTGGACGGGGATGAGATCGCTTACATTGCGTGATTTTATACCATTTGCTTGCCACAACCTTTTGCTTCTGCTCAACAACTCATCTTAGCGCTGATATTTGTCTTTTTAATCATCCGGTTTCGCTTTGGCACAGGCTCCGGCTTCATCACTAGCAGGGACAAGAGATGTATTGCTTCCTATAGCGAAGATATGACAATGATTACCCAACTGACCACGATTAAATAGACGGGTTGCTTCTTTGGACTTCCGATCAATGCGTTCTCCAGTAGGCATCAAATATTATGCGCGAAAAGGCGTACTATCATGAGACCAGGGTTTGGTAGGTATGGTGTACAAATCCTGCTTGGGCTATGAGGTTCATCACAGCTTCACTGTCCAATCGTCACAAACTTTGTACAGTA